CCTTTATTATGTTGAGGAATGTTCAATGGATTCCTAGTTTTTCCAGAGCTTTCATCATAAAGGGGTATTGGATCTTGTCAAATGCTTTTTCTGTATCTATTGTGATAACTATGTGGTTCTTATCCTTGCTCTTGTTGATGTGATGAACTGCATGGATTGATTTGCATATATTGAATCAGCTTTGCATTCCTGAATTGAATCCCGTTTGGTCATGGTGTATGATTTTTTTGAGTTGTTGACCAAAATTTTGTTGAGAACTTTTGCATTAAAGTTCATCTAAGAAATGGGTCTATATTTCTCATCTTTGATGAGTCCATGTCTGATTTTGGGATGAGGGTTATGCTGGCTTCATAGAAAAAGTTTGGTGGTGAATTTTCACTTTCTTTTTTTTAATTGTGAAAATACTGTACAGAGGGGTTACAATTACATGGGCAAGATAGTGAGTACATTTCTTATCAAGCATTGTAGCCTCCTCCTTTGTTTACCCTTCCCCTCCCTTCCTATCCTCCCTCCCACTACCCAATCCTCCCCCTCCCCAAGTTGTAAAGTTCGTTTTCGACATGACAACTTGTACTTCTCATTGTTGCAACAGGTCCACCTGTATCCTTATTTAAACGACTTGTTTTTCCTCTTCCCCTCCACAAATTATACCGACATCAAATACAGTGAAAGCAGGGGTTATACTGTGGGGGAGGGACATACAAATCAACAAAGAAATAATCTAATAATTGTGTTAGAAACAAATGCATGAAAGAAAAAAAAACATTTAAAATACATATCTTAGGGTTCATTTTCCTAACATCACCTTATCTGACCTTTTCTGCTTGACTCATACATATACTAGATATTGCAAATAAGGGAAATCATGGAACCTATGTTTCTTTGGGCTTGGCTTACTTCACTTAATATAATTTTTTCCAAGTCTTTCCATTTCCTAACAAATGGGGCAATGTCATTCTTTCTGATGGAGGCATAGAATTCCATTGTGTATATATACCACATTTTCTTGATCCATTCATCTACTGAGGGGCATCTGGGTTGGTTCCATATCTTAGCTATGGTAAAAAATGCTGCAATAAACATAGTTGTGCTGGTAGCTTTAGTGTGGTCTTGTTTGTAAACATTTGGGTAAATGCCCAAAAGTGGGATTGCTGGGTCATAGGGGAGCTCTATGTGGAGTCTTTTGAGGAACCTCCATACTACTTTCCAAAGTGGTTGAACCCGGAAACACAACTAATCAATGAAAGGTTGGACAAATGGGATTGCATAAAGTTGCAGAGCTTCTGCATGGCAAAGGACATAGCTAGCAAGATCAATAGAAAGCCCATGGATTGGGAGAAGATCTTCACTAGCCATACAACAGACAAGGGTCTCATATCTAAAATATACATGGAACTCAAAAAATTAAATCCCCCAACAACATATCCTCAAAGAAACAACTGCCCAATAAATAAGTGGGCTAATGACTTAACGAGAAACTTCTCTGAAGAAGAAAGAAGGATGGCCAATAGACACATGAAGAAATGCTCAACCTCCCTAGCCATAAAAGAAATGCAAATCAAAACAACATTGAGATACCACCTCACCCCAGTTAGAATGGCAAAAATCAAGAACTCTAATAACAACAGATGCTGGAGGGGATGTGGACAGAAGGGAACCTTACTTCATTGTTGGTGGGAGTGTAAACTTGAACTTTCACTTTCAATTTCATTGAAGAATTGGAGGAGTATTGGTGGGAATTCTGCTTTGAAGGCCTTGTAGAATTCAGCTGTAAATCCATCCAGTCTTGTACTTTTCTTTAGTAGAAGGGCTTTTCTTGCTGTTTTTTATTTGATGCTTGATATGGGTCTGTTAAGTTGATTTAAATAATCTTGGTTTTGTTTGGGCATGTCAATATTTGCTAGAAAATCATCCATTTCTTCCACATTCTGAAACTTACTAGGATAAATGTTTGAGAAGTATTCCCTTATAATGTTCTAAATCTTGGTTGTTTCTGTGGTGATATTTCCATTCTCCTCTCTGAGTTTGTTTATTTGGGTGTGTTCTCTTCTTTTTCTGATAAGATTTTCTAAGAGCTTGTCAATTTTGTTAAGTTTTTTGAAGAACCATCTCTTTGTTTTGTTGGTTGGATGTTTTTTTTAAAAAAAATTAATTAATTAAATTGTGATTTAATTTTAATAATTTGTTTTGTCTACTGGATTGGGTTTTAGGTTGTTGCTCTTTTTCAAGGAGCTTCAGATGCATTGTTAAATTGTTGGTTTCAGAACTCTCCAGTTTGTTGATGTAGTAACTCACAGCTATAAACTTGCCTCTGAATACTGCTTTTGTTGTATCCTAGAGGAATTGGTAATTTGTGTGTTCATTTTTGTTAAATATCATGAACATTTGAATTTCCTTTCTAATCTCTTCCATGACCCACTGTTGGTTCAACAGTATGTTGTTCAGCTTCCATGTGTTATAAGATTTTCTTCAGTGGGTTTTGGTATTGAATTCTAATTTTATTCCCTTGTGGCCTGAGAAAATGCAGGGCATAATTTCAATGTTTCTGAAATTGGACAAATTCGCTTTGTGACCTAAAATGTGGTCTGTTTTGGAGAATGTCCATGTGCTGCTGAGAAGAACATGTATTCTGCCGCTGCTAGGTGAAATATTCCATAGATTTTTTAAAGTCTAATTAATCTATGATCTGAGATTTCTCTGTTGAGTTTTTGCCAGGTTTATCTATCAGGAGGGATAGTGGTGTGTTAGAGTTCCCAACAATTAATGTATTTGGATCTATGTGAGGTTTTAGGGAAAGTAGTGTTTCTTGGATAAATTTGGGTGCTCTGTTTTTTGGTGAATAGATATTTAAAATTATTTGGTGAATATATATTTACAATTGTAATATCTTTCTGAAGGAGAGATCCCTTAATTAGCATGTAATAACCTTCTTATCTCTTCTTGATAATTTTAATTTGAAGTCTATGTTATCTGATATTAGGATTGCAACTCCTGCTTGTATATGGGGGCCATTTGCTTGGTAGATTTTTTTTTTTGTCAGTCATGGGGCTTGAACTCTAGGCGTGGGCGCTGTTCCTGCACTCTTCAGCTCAAGGCAAGCACTCTACCACTTGAGGCACAGCGCCACTTCTGGTTTTCTAGTGGTTTATTGGAGATAAGAGTCTCACAGACTTTCCTGTATGGGCTGGCTTTGAACCACGATCCTCAGATCTCAGCCTCCTGAGTAGCTAGGATTATAGTTGCGGGCCATCAGCTCCCGGCATTTGGTAGATTTTATTCCAGCTTTTCACTTTGAAAATATGTTTTTTGTGTGGGCAAGGTGTGTCTGTTGAAGGCAAAAGATAGAAAGATCTTGCTTTTAAGCTTTTTATTGTGAAAATACTGTACAGAGGGGTTACAATTACATGGGCAAGATAATGAGTACATTTCTTATCAAGCATTGTTGCCTCCTCCTTTGTTTTTCCCCTACTATCTCTTCCCTCCCATTTCCATAACTACTCTCCCCATCCCACCTAAATTGTAAAGTTTGTTGTTCAACAGTGTCTTGTACATCTCATTTTTACAATGGGTCAATCTGTATCCTGATTTAAACATTTTGTTTTTTCCTTTCCCCTCCCCAAATTATACCGACATCAAATACAGTGAGAAACATAGGTCCTATGGTTTCCCTTATTTGCAATTACTAGTATATGTCTGGGACAAGCAGAAAAGGTCAAAAGCTATGTACATATAATAAGATAAGATGATGGTAAGTGAAATGAACCCCAAGATAGGGACACTAGTGGTTTTGTCTTTCTTGCTATTTTTTCTAATGTATTTATAAAGTTCTTGCTTTTTGATCCAACTAGACAGTCTATGTCACTTAACTGGAAGAGTTAAGTCTATTAATATTGAGAGTTAGGACTGAGAAGTATTTGGTAGTTCCTGCCATGTTATCCACTTTTTTTCTTTTATTGTGATAATACCGTCATGATAACGAGTACATTTCTTATCAAGCATTTTTGCCTCCTCTTTGTTTTCTCTTCCTATCCCTTCCTATGCTCCCCCTCCTCCCTACCCAATCCTCCCCCCACCCCCCACCAAAGTTGTAAAGTTCGTTTTTCGACATAACGACTTGCACATCTCATTGTTGCAATATGTCCACCTGTATCCCTAGTTATCCATTTTTTTTGTGGGCTGTGACAACTGCATTCTTCCTATGCTTCTTGGATTCTCTGTTTGGGGGCTGTTTCTTACCCTTGTTGGTTTTCTATGTGTAGGACATCTTTAAGTATCTTTTGTAGGGCTGGTTTGGTGGAGATATATTGTTTCAATTTTCATTTGCTGTGGAAGGTTTTTATTTGTCCTTCCTTTATGAAGGAGAGTTTAGCTGGAACAGCATTCTTGGTTGATAGTTGTTTGTCTTTAGGGAATGGCATACATCATTCCAAGCTCTTCTCACTTTAATTGCCTCTGCTAAGAAATCTGAAATTATTTTTTTTAATTTTAATTTTTTGTGAACATACTGTACAGAAGGGTTACAATTACATGGGCAAGATAATGAGTACATTTCTTATCAAGCATTGCAGCCTCCTGAAATCTGAAGTTATTTTGATTGGTTTCCCTTTATAGGTGATTGATCTTTTCTCCCTGACAGCTTTGAGGTTCCTTTCCTTGGTCTCAGTTGATCCTGTGTGGATTATAATGTGATGGTGGGATGTCCTGTTCTGGTCTGGTCTATTTGGGTTTCTAAAGGATTCTTGTATCTGAATGGATCTATCTTTTTGCATGTTTGGAAAGTTCTCTGCTGGGATCCTGTTAAATAGATTTCCTAGACCTTTAATTTCTGTCTCTAGGCCCTCCTCTATACCCATTAGCCTTAAATTAGGCCTTCTGATGGCATCTTCTAGATGATTAATAGATCTATCATATTTCTTGGATTTGTCTTGAATACTAGTCTGTTCTTTCTCTATAATGTCTAGGCTCTCCTAAATTCCAGAGATTCTATCTTCCACATGTTCTAAAATATAGAATACTTCACGAATTTGTGAGTCATCCTTGTGCAAGGGCCATGCTAATCTCTGTATCCTTCCAATTTTAGTATATGTGCTGCCCAAGTGAACACTGCTTTATCTTTTCTATAATAAAACTACAGCAACAGAAATCACTAACAAAATTTTTGACAGTTGCATCAAATGTCTTTCTTTCTTAAGCATTTTTAATATGAAAATGCTATTGTGCTCATTTTTCCTTCTGATGTAGGCTAAGGTAAGACAGTTTCAAGATTTTCCATAACATCTCTGTGAATGGTCATGTGACTCTTCTGATCTAATGTAAAAGGTCACACCAAGGCAGTTATTGTCCAACATATGTGTTTTCATTTGTGTTATTTTGTATGGACTCCGCAGAATTGAACTTCTTTTCTCTAAGTATATTTCTATACAAAAGTGCTTTTTTCTTCTGACTCTAGATGAGTTCCATTAAAAAAAAAAACCATTGAGAGAAGGTACGGATTTGAAGTAATCAATCTTTTTTTTTTTTTTTTGGTGCCAGGTCTTGGGTGCTATAAGGCTGGTGCTCTGTCACTTGTGCCAGAGCTCCACTTCCTGAAGTGAACTTTAAATTGAAGAAATAAAATAAATTGAGGTACAGAAAGGGGATGACAAGGAAACTGAATGAAAGTGGTGGCATGAAAACTATTTTTATATACATATAAAATATTTTTTAAAAGGCTGCAGCAAAACATGGCAGAATTCAAATAATGCTACACTGGTCGTTTGGAATGGCACTTCTTTGAGAAGAAATTAGAAATCTGGACGAATATTTTAAAACTATCTTGAGCTAATAATGCTGTAAAAGAAAGAAAGTTTCCAAGAATATAATAAACAGAAGCCAAACCCAAAATTGTCAAACTATTAAACATTTTCAGAGTAGGGAAACTGTTTTTTTTTTTCTGCTAGAGGTTCTTTGAATGTTTATAACATAATTATGGACAAAGTTATCAATATGGGCATATAGTCTTTAGCAGCCCACAATAAACATTCACATGTCTATTCTATCCTATACTTATGATTTTGAGGATCTTACTCAGCCCCTGAGCTTGTTGTTCCCCTCTCAGCAAGCAGTTATCAATTCATATGTCACCACTGAGGGCTCAGTAGACAAGCAAACTCTTCTGGTCACCCCCTGAGAGGGAATTTCATTGGAGTCTAGATTCTGCTATGACCATTGGTCTCTGATGAAGCCTCATAACAATGAACTCCTAAGAAAAGATGACCATTACAGTGAATGGGCACTCAGAAAAAGCCAACATCATCTGTAAATCATGCAGCTGCAATCAGACTAAAGTCACCTGTGACTGCCTATTCTCTAACATTCTGTAGGGCAACATTCAGGAACATGACAGGATAGAAAACACATAAATACAGGGGAAACAGCATGTTAGGCTTCTATCTGTTTCTGTATATTTGACAAATCAAACATCTCCAAACAACAAGCAACAGGCATACCTTTTGTGAGCCAGGAGCAACAGGGTGTCATTTAAACAGATTCACTAGGGCTCTTAGCTTTGAAGATAGCAAAATAGTGTTTAAAATAGCTATGTATCATGTCAAAGAGATAGAATCTATGATTAAACATATCTTCCAATGGCTGAAAACGGCATTAAAGTATAAGTGTTAGAGAACAGAAAATCAGAAGTGATGACAACAACAACAAAAAAAATCAACAAAATCTAGCCCTACTTTTCTACAGATTTTTACAAAAATTAAGTCCAAAATTTCTTAGAGAAACAGGTAAAGATCAATCACAGTGAAATAGGGAAGAAGTGACACAGTGAAGAATTGACCAAGTGAAGAAGACCAGTTCTCCCTCATCCATCACATCCTCTCCCAGGTAGCACTGCTCAGCATCAGCCATGATGTGTCCCCAGGATGGAAGACATAGAGTGGCATTCAATGTCCCAGACTTTTCACTTTGTTGGTCCCGGAGAGGCCAGCATTTGTGTTACCACCTATCATTTTGTACAGTCTATAATGATGGTATAAATATCCAAATGACTCCTGGAAGAATAAGGGAAGAACCAGCACAGTCCAGATGCCTGGGGCAACTAAGTAGCCAGCATGGTTCCTCCAGAGTTGGAGAAGAGGAAGAACTGAGGAATGTTTTCCAGGACGGTTGGAGAAGTGTAGTGCAGCCCTTACATCCCAGCTTTAGGGGATAGTTCATTTTTTTCTTTTTCTTTTGAAGAACATCAAAGGTTTATTTCTTTTGTGAATATGGAATGAACTATTAAATAATAAGAATTGGAGTCAGTACTTTTGTTGACTTTATCTGAAAAAAAATGTATTGATATTATGGATCTAAATTTTACTTGTAAAAATTAGTAATGTTTGTCCTGTAATGTCTTGTGAATAAGTAATAGAAACAAATAATTATTATATCTAATTTCATTGGGACTAACTAGCCTTCAGGAATTCAGTAAGTTTTACTTTATGTAATAATCCTCCAAGAAATTCTTAGGGGATACTTTCTGAGGGACTGGTCACTGTACTGACTCACATGCAATTTGGAAGAAACTAGTATAATCTAGTTTCCTAGGACTGCAACTATACAACTTTCAAGCTTCCCCTCCAGCAGGGAAAGGAAGAGTAAACTATGGCACAAGTATTCTCAGGCCCACAAGGAACCCGTAAATATATAATTGTTGAGTCAGAGTGTGAATATGCATTTCAAACATACAAAAGAGACTCATGAATAGAAAGCCTATATAAAAGATTAATGGAAAAAAGAAATAATATTCCAGGAAAACATATAAGAAATTGGAAGATGCTCACTAGGGAAAGAAAGGTGTGCCACATACAGGATGTGTTTATCTCATGTGTAATCAGAAAAGTACAAACTGATATAGCCATAAGACACTCATCAGCTGAAATTGAAATTGTACCCATGTTCACTTTTGAGAACTACTTGACAGGAACCACTTGTAACACATGTTCAGGGCTCTGTGGATACAAGATGATGAAACACTTTGAAAGACTGAAATTATCTACTGAAATCCAAGCAATGACTCCCCTGCGACTAGTAATTCCACTCATTAGTGAACATCACCGAAGTGTGTCCCAGTGTGCACCAAGGATGCTGTTTGTAAGAAATAAAACCAAAGCAGCTCCAAGATTTAATACCTACACATTGTATGACTGTACTTTGATAGATTCACTGAGTGGAATTCTACCCATGAATTGAAATGATAGCTGCACACAACAATTGAACTATCACAGAAAGGTATCACAAGACACTACATACTCTGTTAATGCATATGGAGAGCTCAAATATGCAGAATAAAAGCCCCACTCCAGTGCCTTAAGAATCATATCTTTGTATCTTTGTGCATAAATATTAAAGAGCTTCAAGGGATTTCTTGCATGGTCAAGCACCAGTCTAGTAAGCATGAAATCCTGAGTTCAAACCCTTCTACCACACACACACACACATACACACACACAGAATTAGGAACAAGGTATGGTGGTGGCACATGCCTATAATCACTACTACTTGGGAGACAATTAGACTCAATTACACTCAATTAGACTCAATTGATGTTCTTCAAAAGAAAAAGAAAAAAATGAACTATCCCCTAAAGCTGGGACATAAGGGCTGCACTACACTTCTCCAACCGTCCTGGAAAACATTCTTCAGTTCTTCCTCTTCTCCAACTCTGGAGGAACCATGCTGGCTACTTAGTTGCCCTTGGACTGGAGTGTGTCTCGAGTGGTAGAGCACTTACCCAGCAAGAGGTGGGCCCTAAGATCATTCCCCAGTGCTTCACAAAACAAACAGAAAAGAAAAATTTGGATCTAACTATCCCTCCAAAGATCTTGTTGTCAAAGGAGTTTATGCTTCAGGATGCTATGTGGAGAAGATGGAGTATACTTAGAAGTTCTAGGTGACTGAGGATGGGCCCTGAAAGGGCTTCCATTTTCTTTCTTTTTGTGTCCCAACCATGACATAAAAGGCTGTGGTAGGTCAGTTCTTTTCTCCATGACAATGAGGTCCCTCCACATGGAGCCAAAATCAAAAGATCAATCATGGACTGAAGCCTCTAAAACTGTAAGCCAAAAGAAATCTCTCTTTACAAGTTGATTATCCTTGCCTTTGTTATCACAATGGAAAACTGACCAATCTAAGGTACTATCTCTTCTTTTTAATTTTTTTCTTCTGCCTGAAGGCTTGAAAGTAAATATTTCTATTGGGATTCATTAAGTGTGAACATGTTCAAATTCTAGTTGAGGGTATATTTTTAATCTAGTCGTGTGCCCTTGAGGGCTGGACTGTTCTCTGACTTGCCTGCGAGTAATTAGATTTTTCATGAAGGGAACATCCTAGAGAAGAGGTAAACATAATCTCTTATGTGGACTTTACCAACTTTTACTTCAACAGAGTGTCTGTCCTCTGCTTTAATTCCCTTTCTGTGGACTTAAATTGCATTTGGGGAAAAGAAAGGAAATAGCTTTTGCTTTGAACATTACACTGAGAATTATGTAGTACTTTAGCTTGGCCAGTAATAATCAAATAGATTGCAAATATTAAATGGAAAAATGCAAGAGTAACTTGCTGAGTTCTCCATGAAATGGAAGCTCCAGAGATTCAAATGTACATAGATAATAATGATAAGAAAATGTAGATAATATCAGCAGATGAGATTTAAAAGTAATTCTGAGAGAAATGATAAAATAGACCAGAACAAACAAAATTGGAGCTGTGTGAATATATAGATTCACCAATAACCTCCCTTGAAGGAGGATCTTGAAGATCTCTCTCTCTCTGAAAGTGGTAGAGACAGGTAGACAGAATAAAACTGAGATGCAACTTCTAAAACGTAATATTAGGCTTGGAACACAAAGCCAGTGAACAATGAAAGATAAATTAAGACATGAAACACAGCTAATCTTTTGTACACAAGAAAAACTCTGGAGAGGAGAAGATGTAAATGAGAAATTATAAGAAGAAATACTAGAAGATAATTTCCTCCAAGTAAAGGTACATGCTTCCAAGGACTGAATGGACTTAAATAGTGATAAATGATCAAAAGAATAAGATTGAGAATAACTGAGCATATGGCCATAC